TACATTTACATGCATAAAATTAAAATGGTAGTGCTAACAAATGTTTCAATGGCACAATAAAAAGATAAAAAATAAAAATAAATTGTAAAACTGAAGGCAACTTTCATTAATTTCATAACTTGTTTTAAACTACAATCAATACAACTATTTTCATGTTTAAAAATTAAAAAAAATATATATACAAAAAAGTTAGCATGCTATCCTACTATCTTTTTTCTTCTTAAATGCAGTTATTTAATTTAAGGGTAAATTACATTTACCTTTCCTGAAATTTGAAAAAAATATTGTTAGTCACAGACGTTTGACATAATTACACTGACCTCTCTCAAGGTTTTAATTCATATAACACTTGGATAATTTCTCATCAGTAATTTGTGAGTCATCTGGATGAAATGAAATAATAACGTTGTTATTCTTTTCTACTAAAATATATATATTTATCATTATTTATTTATGTATCTACCCACTATCTGCATTAGTTTTGATGACTTTAACCTTATTAAAAGAGAGATTAGTGTAATCATATCAAATTTGTAGAGTTAATTGTCAAACCTCATGAGAGGTGAGTGTCATTTACCCTTAATTTAACCATGGAAAATGTCTCGTAGCTCAAATTTTGTGGCTCAAAAGTGGCTCAAATGGCCAAAACGACGTCATTTTGGCCATTTGTATGTTGTTCTGTACTCAAAACGACGTCGTTTTGGCCATTTGAGTTTTATTTGGTGGGACACGGTCGAACTAACCATGTTTGTTCACTTGGAAATGGCTAAACAAACTGCGTTCTACCAAATGAGTTAGAATTGACTAATTAACCATTCAGAAGTGATAGGTAGCTTGAAAGAGAGGCCCCTGAATCCCCCCGAATTCAAAAATGACGTCGTTTCGTCTTTTTTATTTTTATTTTTATTTATTTTCAGAAGAAGAAAATCAGATAAAGAGAAGGAAGAAGAAGAAGAAGAGAAGGAGGAAGAAGAAGAAGAAAAAGAAGGAAGAAGAAGAAGAAGGAGGAGGAGAAGAAGAACTGGAGAGGCCAACTATATATATATATATATTCATCTGATCAAATTATGACATAGGAATTCCCATAAAAAAATTCAAAAGTGATTGGTAGCTTGAAAGAGAGGCCCCTGAATCTCCCCAAATTCAAAAACGACGTCGTTTCGTCGTTTTTATTTTTTTTAATTTTTTTTTTCAGAAGAAGAAAATCAGAAGAAGAGAAGGTGGAAGAAGAAGAAGAAGAAGGAGGAGGAGGAAAAGAACTGGAGAGGCCAACAAAATCGGGCTGGAGGCGGAGAAGAAGATAAGGAGGAAGAAAAAGAAGAAGAAGAAGAACTGGAGGGGCCAACAAAATCGGGCTGGAGGCGGAGACGGAGCGAAGGCGGAGGCGGAGACGGAGCGAAGGCGGAGGCGGAGGCGGGGGCGGGGGGCGGAGGCAGAGGCAGAGGCAGAGGCGGAGGCGATAGCGGGGCTGCGACGAGCTACTGCGACAAGCTGCGACAAGGCGACGGCGACGGCGAGCGGAGGGCTATCGTAGCTGCCATCTCCTCCTCTTCCCCTCTCTTCTCTTTCTCTCTCTCTTTCTCTTTCTCTTCTAAATTTCGGGCTATTCGGGGGGACAAATTTGTGGGAAAAAATCATTTTTCAAAAAAATTTATGATAGAGGAATAAGAGACATATTCTTTAAAGTATACCATTTTTCAAAATTGCATACATACACCATTCATATGATTGTAGATATATTTTGAAATACAATTTCTCTTAAAAAGAAAGTTGACCAAGTTTTTTTTTTTTGTTTTTTCATTTCATTTAAATTTTGAATCCTAAGTTTACTACTACTATTTTTTGAACCCTGTATTTCAAACATATGGTCGTAATGTAAGTGGCCCACATATGCATGTCACAAAGGGGCCCCAAAATAAGTAAATGGCCCACACATAAGCCACAAATGGGGCCCAAAACTAGTTACGGCCACAATTTAGGAAATAGAAAGTTAGAGCAACTTCTTGGCTAATTGCTAAAATGACAATGTCAAAATTAATAATTTATTATAGTGTCAAAATATTACTTTTTTAGTAACGTCGTTTTAATGATGCAAATATCATTTTGGCTGAATTCAAACCATTGTTTATTTTTATCCTTGGACATTTCACATTCAAACCATTGGATCTGAACCTCTTTTAGAGTGAGCTAAGCTAGCACTATAGATATAAGCTACCGCTATAGATATGCAGTGCAGGTCAAGTAGTTTGAGAGTAAAATTATAAATTGAATGGTGGATTAACGGATTGGTAGATTGACAAATCGTGATTTGAACGGTTTTGGATGGATTGACGGATTGAAAAATATTTTAACCAATTATCAAGTATTTGCATAATATATAATATTAATTTACATAAAATTTTTCATATATATAACATAAACTAATTTTACATAATATTTTTTTATATATAACTATTAATTTATAATAAATTTCACATTTTAAATCTCTCTCACATTTATTTTTACTTTGATATTTCATTAGAGGTTAAAAAATATATATGTATTAATTACAGCGGAATAGAGCGATTTCGAAGATAGATTATAAATTTTAAAGTTTAATCCGCGATAAGCAGGTAAAACGGTGCTAATTGATGCCGATCAGTACGATTTGAGAGAATTAATCAGCATTTTACACTAGCACAAATCACGTTACCAAACTTTGTGTTTGTGCTATAATTGATACAAAATTTAACAATATTTATTTTCATTAAAGTTGTATTTAGATCATAATTTTGGATAGAATTTTTTTTTTAAAAAAAAAATGTGTAAAATATGAATAAAATATAAATACATTTTACTTATATTTTTCTTTTTATTTTTTAAATTTCATCTAAAAATAATGATCTAAACGCAACTTAAAAATTTATCAAATAAAATTATTATAATTTGACAATAATAATTCTAATGGCAACCACAAAAGTTGCTCATAGTAAAGCTTTAAAATTAGCTAATAACTATTGTTCATTCAATTGTCACATGCATGCAAATCTCTGCAAACCACAAATAATGTACTCTATTCTTTTGGAACAACATAAAAATTGTTCCCTTTGATCACATAAGAATTATAAGATTCACTTCTTTAATATTATTGTGGAGTCATGTGTTGTCTTGTCTTGTGATCATTGATGTTGACCTCAGGTTTGTCCCCACATGTAAAAGACTTGTTTGAATGGGCTAAATTCCAAATTTTCTGATTCCATGCTAGGGCCCACTTCAGTTTTGAACCAATTATTTTGATGCTCAAGTGAGACCATTTACCAGACCAAAAACAAAAAAAAAACATGTACTAGATCCATAAATAGTAACATTATGTACGTCACACTGAAACTTTATTTTATTTTTTAAATATTTTTATTTTAAATGTGATTTTTTTAACTTAATAGACATATTTAATAAATATTAATTATCAAACTTAGAATTTGAAATATGAGTATTTTGATAAATTAACTATGCGCATGCCTCGTTTTTTACGGAGTAATTTTATTTCTACACACTACTTTCTCTCTTTCTACATATTTAATGATTTTTTTTGTATTATATTTTTGTCTTAAAATTAAATTACCAAAATATCCCTTTTTATTTAAAAAATCTTGTTGCTCGGTCATTGGAGTTGCTTTTAAACGTTTGAGACATTATTCCCATCTTCATTGACTTTGCAATAGGGTAATTTATAAGCACCCAGTATAATTATGAATAGAAATTTAATTGTGAAGAAAAAACCCAAGTTTTTTATTTTACTAGGACATTAATATTACAAAGCTAATTCAATAAATAATTCATTAATATCTCTCAACTGTCTGAACAAGCCCAAACAATACTTTCAAACCCCCAAAAGAATATTTCTCAATTGCATAACTACTACACATACAGAACAACTAAAAGACGACAAACTAGTAGATGTACGTCAGAACCGTAGCTCCAAACAGAGCCATCAGCAGAGAAGTGAAAGGGAGGGGAAGAGGTGTCGCCGTCGCCGGCAACAACAGTGGTGGCTTGTTAGGATTAGGGTTTGGAGGATGATGATGGTAAGGGTATTTTTGGTATGGTAGCATGTGTATTGAGTGAAAGTTGATAATTTAAATTTATTTAAAGTGTGTATTGAGAAAAGATGTGAAAAGAAAGGAAGTAGTGTATGGAAATAGAATTTCCCTTTTCTACGTTATGCATTTGTCTTTTTAGCAATAAAATTATGCATTGAAGGAGGCTCTAGCCAAATGACGTCTTTTTTTATATATACCATTTTAAAATTTTTCTTTGATAGTTAGCTAATAAATAAATTTATTGACTAAAAATAAACTCATAAAAAAACTAATGTTAAAAGGCTATTTTATTTCACACATTAACTTTTTTAGCATTTCTTCTTATTATTATTATTTTGCAGTGGTTAAAGTGGACTTTTTGATGAAAAATTAATTTGTCAAATGAATTTTAAAAAAAAAATTTATAGCAAATAACCTAGTTTTTAAGCTTGCAACCAATGAAGCCTAGGATGGTGTTGTGGATGAGATTTAAAGGCCTGATGTCAAATTGGGCCAGCCCAACCAAGTCTATGGCCACCTTAGATTGACCTAGTTTCAGAACCCAATTAGGAATTCCCAGATCCAACGCCAAAAGACAATCTCTGTAAGACCTCAAAAATTCTTCACAGTAAAATTTGTGAATATGTATGCACCTTCCAAACATACAGGGCATGTTTGTTTCAACGGATTAGAGAGGCAAGATTTGGACTAAAAAATACCACCATGTTAAAAAAATGTCCCATCCAATACCAATCCAGCATTTCGTTGGCGCCATTGGCTCGGTAAATAATCCAATCCAACAATTAAATCTCATTTGACATGTACCTCATCTAAACTTTTATCCTAAAAATTGAGCCTTTATGTAAACCAAGATAACTGCCTTAATGAACTCAACCTTGGTATTGAAACATGACTAAAATATATAGAAGCTAGACTAGCCAATGATATATGAAAATCAAAATTCTTCATTAATATAAGCTGTCAAAATGTCTGCCAAAGGATAATATAATTTTTTTTGTGACAGCAATACGCACAATCAACATGGTCATCAGCAGTACTACCTCAGAGTGCTTTATTTTCCCCCAGCAATCTCACTATGCCAACCTGAAAACCATCACTGACTACTACCACCAGCTAGTCTCTTCCTTTCAAAGTCAACCTAAATAGCAGGAGAGAAAAAAAACTGGCGTAAGTGAGCTAGTTTAATAAAAAAAACTATGGGGGTGTTTGACAAGTTGTCACTGAAAAGGGGGCTCGTTAGGAGGGAAATCGCTGTCATAAAAAAAGCCGGCCTTACCATTTTCCTCACACGGTCATTGGCAGCGGGAGTTCCTCCAGTAACAGATTCGGGGAGATATGGACTGCAAACGCGCACGTCATTCAGCACAATTATGGCAGTCTTGTCCCAGCGCACTGGAAGTCTGATCACAAGCCCATGGTATCAATATCAGGACGAGATGATTAAATTGAGGAGATGATAATAGCTCTTTGGAGAATGTTATAAAGTGGAGAAAACATTCACGACACTAGACCATAATGCAATTAAGAAACTCCATTTTGTTATTTAACTAGAAAGCACAATTGTTTACGTATCCAGGCATAACCCTCGAAGCAAAATTGAAGTAATTCATTTTCAAGTTTACAAAAATTAAAAGTTAATTTCAGGAAAACATGGGAGCTAAATAGAATATGCCCTTTTCTACAAACCAATGTAGGTTAAAATGTATAATTGTCACCCAATGCCTTGATAACTTGCTAGTGCATAATCACCCCACCACAAATTATTTAGCACCGAGTCAAAAGGATTGAGAACATCAACCCCAAGAACATTCCAAGATGCAAGCATGGCCATGATGGAAATGAAGTCTGTGAGTTCCACCCTATCTGTCACTCTTTACATTTATAAAAAAAACAGTAAATAGAATAAATAAATATTTTGATAAATCCTTTGCCTGTCAATGTGATAAAGGCACTCACTACCAGTTATGTCAACAAAATATTATTTTAACAATTTTTAGTAATGCAGTATGCATAAAAATAAAACCTAAAGCAAAAGACAACTTGATAAAGAAGAAAGATTCCTATAAAACTAAGAGTCTTCAAGGTCAATAGTTTCAACTTGTTCCCCTTCATCATTGAATATCACAAGACCTTAGCTAAAGCCAAAAAACCATTCTTAAATAAAAATTTCAGCAAATACACTTTTTTAAGTCATCAATGATAGCCTAGGAAGCACGGAGACGAATATGGTGATATGGGGATATGGATATGGCGATATGTCAAAATTTGAAAAAGTACGATACAGGTACAGCGGGGATACATTCATAATTTTTTTTTTTAATATAATTTTAATAATGTAATATGCATGAAAATAAAACTTAAAGTAAATTAATAAATAAGGAGAGGGATTCCTATTAACCTAAAAGTGCTCAAACATTCATAAAACATCCAAAACTAAAAGCAAAAGTAAATGCAAATGCAAATGCAAATGCAAATTAAATATCATCTTTACATGCCAACACCAAAAAAAGAATGAGAGCAGAGAGAAGAAACGTGAGAGAGTGAAAAAGCGAGAGAGAAGTGAGAGAGACAACAAGGATATATCAATTTGACAAATTCTATTACTCTAACTCTCACTATATTCCTCTTATCAAAGAACTAAACAAAATATTATAAGTAATATATAACTTCGAGTATCCGATACTTCAAAATTAAGTATCCAATACTTCAAAATTAATAAAAAATTAATTAAGTATCTGATACTTTTAAAAAGTATTCGATACGTATCCGCGAGTATCCGAGGAGTATCGGTATCCGATAAGTATCCGATACGGATACGTCACCCTTTTTGAAGTATCCGTGCTTCATAGGTTCCACCCTATCTGTCACTCTTTACATTTATAAAAAAAAACAGTAAATAGAATAAATAAATATTTTGATAAATCCTTTGCCTGTCAATGTGATAAAGGCACTCACTACCAGTTATGTCAACAGAACATAGCCAGCAGCACCTAAAACTAAGCAAACTATGAGATTAAAACAAAATCTGAGCATCTTGATATAAAAGTCAAAAAAACTGACTGCCCTCTATCTTCTCATTAAAGTTGATCTGCAAAGCTACTGCTTTAGACTAATGAGGGAAGTAAGAACAATAAGCATCACAAAAACTACCACTAGACCAAGTTCACTCCATTAAAGGGTCAGCAGGCAATTGGTTTTGAAAGCCTCCGTAGTCGGTACACCCAAGCACAAACTACTAGGTTTTGTGACAGCCAAACTTATCTGTCTGCACACAGATAGTTCAGTCTTCTAAGCGTGATACTTTCAGCAACGACGAAAGAAATAATGTTCTTTTCTAACAGCATATTAAGTAGCCCATTCAGATTTTAGACTTAAATTGACTCCTACGTTATAACTTATTGCTAGATTTATGACCTGACAACAAAACAAGTATGATCAAAATGTTCAAGGAAGCACTAAATTGGGCTCATACACCAAAGGAAAGGTTCAGTTGAACTGCCAAGTTCAGAAACGGTTTGCCTTATTTTGTTCAATTTGAATGAGCACTAGATTGAGCTCATACAGAGTTTTTCGCTACATCGTTTCACTATTTTCAAGGACCAGTTTAATATCTATCATGATATGAAAATAGTACTAGTTTATTCAACGAAAGATCTGATCTATCCCCAAGAATACCTAGTAGAAAGCATAAAAGATAGCCACGTGACATTTTCCACAGAAGTATATCGGGACAGGTGAATTAAAATGCTTTATGCTTCCAGTGTTGATTGGTCAGTACTCAGCGCACATGCATGAAAAAAGATAGTCACAAACTTGGTCAGGTTTCACAGCATGAATGTTCGGTGCAGAAATTGCAATTACCTACCATTAAAGTGAGGCAAAATGAATCTCAAAGAAGCTAATAGATCAATGAGAAGGTTCGCCAACAAAGACCGACAACTGTACGAGTGCAAAGTAATATGGTCGAACTAACAAGAACAGGTGATAACTGAAACCATATGTGGTATGATATGAAGCTATAAGGGAATATGTGGCCTTAGATAAATGGAATTGAAAGCGCAAAATTGAGCATACCATGAAGATATTTACACTATTGAGAGAATAGGTCGGATAAGGATTTCTCAACTTAAGCCAAGTCAAAATTTGATTACATACAAGCACTTGAACGTGCATGCTTTCTTAATTACCTCTTTTCCATCCAAGCTAATGTACCTAGTCTTCCTTGTTCATCCGAATATGTGGGCTCAGTTACCCAGACCAGACATGATGAATTTTGAATTTTGACAGAGGATGTGTCTCTAGATGAAAAAAATTCATGAAAAGAGATTCTTGTGACTCAATAGGAAATTGTTAACTTCACCAGGGTCATAAAATAGTATGCTCAGTGCTTTTTCTTTTTCCTCAAGTCTTGAATGTAAGATTTGAATCTCAAAGAATAATATGTTATAGTTCAAATACTGTGAAAATTTAGTAGTCATATGGTGTCTCTGCCTTTCTCGGCTTCAAGCTTTGGTTTCCTCTTAATATATAGATACACATATTATGTACATATAACTCAACCCAGTCTTATGCCAATGATGATGAGTATATAAAGTGCCATTACCCCATCAAATTTTGTGGTTCTTGAATTGTGCCTCATTGCGCTTGGCTTTGTTTATGACTTAGTGAAAAACTGAGTATATATAAATATGGTCATGCAATGTACACACCTCAAAAGGGTGTAGACCATGTGCAAGTTACGACATTCGTGGTGGTGATTACCACAAATGTCATAATCTATGAAGCATGGGTACTCAAAAAATGTTGCTGTATAAGTACCGGGTATTTACCGAGTGCGGGTACGCGTACTGGGTACGGCACAAACGCACCGGGTACGTTTTATACGATCAATATAATCTTGGTACACAATGGGTACGTGATAGGTATGTTTTTGGGTATGCCGGGGTAAAAAGTGGAATTTTTTGTAATTTTAAGGATACCAGAGCAATTTTTTGGTTCATTTGAAAAAAAAATTAAATAAATTTGGGGTTCTTTTGTAATAATTAAAACATGAAACAAATTGAAATTACGGTTACTAGTTCTATTCAATTATCTCCTTCCTTCAAAGAAATACAGTCGGCTCCAAGAAGAGAGAAAACAATCGGCAACTCCGAAACTCCTTCGAAGGTGCTGATTCTCTCCTTCAAAGAACACAATCCGGTGAGTTTCTCTTCGATTCTTCCTCCTTTTCTTCCTCCTTCTCTCATTTTATTTTTCAGATTTTTTGTCTTGCTTTGCAGCAAACGAAGAGTCTATCCTCTGTTTTTTTGGTTCGTTTTTCTTCAATTCTCCTTCCTCTTTCTTTCATTTTTTTTTTCTTTTCAGATTTTTTTTTCTTACTTCGCAGCAAACGAATCTGTCCTTTTTTTTTTTCTCTTCATTTTTTTGATTTGATTCTTCCCTTTGATTTTCTCTTTCCTTGATTCGATTCTTCTTCCTCTTTCTTGAACTCTCCTTCATTTTTTCCCCCTAATATATGTATATATTTTTTTGGGCAAATTTCACTTTACCTCCCTATGTTTTGAGCCGAGTGTGGATTACCCCCTGACATTTGGAAATCACTACATAACCCCCACGTGGTTTGTAGACCAAAACGCATCGTCCTAACAGGCTGTGATGTTCACACGCCCATGAAGAGAATAAGCTATATTTTATGACTAAAATACCCCTTACACATCTTTAAATTTACAAAAGCTTGCCATTATTCTTCCTCCACCTCTCTCACAGAATGAACAAACACCTCTGAAAAAAGGTTGTTTCTCCAAAACTAAGGTTGTTTAAATTTTTTGAACAAACACATCTTTAAATTTAGAGAGAGAAACTCTCAACCCACTTTGATTACTAAGTTTTTCTCAATCAATTGCCCTTGCAAGAATTATAATCCAGTTGTTGAAGACAATCAAGAAGAAGAGAATAAGAGAATATAAGATAATGAGGGGAGGAAAATTAGAAAGAAAAAAAGAAAAAAAGTGGGTACATACATTTACAAATCCAAACCCATTTGTATATATATACATATATATTTTTTCTTGATCATGTGTACATACATATACATATATATATATACAAATTTAAACCCATTTTTCTAATTATATACAAACCCAGTTCACATATACAAATCCAAATCTATTTTTTTGAAACCCATTTTTCTTGATCATGTGTACATACATACATATATATACATAAAACACATCTCTCTCTGTTTCTTCAATCATATACACAAATTCTCATATATATATATATATACATATTTGTGATCTTCATATTTGAGCTAAAATGGAGAAAGTCATTGCAAACAATGTTTCCACTCTCTCTCTGGCTTTCTCTCTCTCTCTCTACAGTACTTTTTTTTCTCTCTCCTCTCTCTAGAATGGCTTGCCGGAGGATAAATGCGGGGAATTTGGATCCAGAGAGGAAGAGGAGTAGGGGTCTCAAGACCAAACAGGTGGGACGAGGCTTGTGTCGTGAAAATTAGGCCGAAGTAGCAAAGTCATCGGAAAATGCTTGATCTTCGGCACTGAGATTTTCGCTCTCTACTGTTATAAAAGTAATTTTAATTTAATTATAATATATATATATATATATATATAAACATATATATAGCTATCATGGGTTGAAAGTTGGCAATGGCAACCATGGGAGAACGTAAGCTCTAAATCAACAAGAAGATGAGGGCATTATTAACGTATATAGATATACATATATAATTGATATATATTTGCAGGTTTAATTCAAAGAGAGAAGAGTAAGAAGATGAGGGTATAATAGTCAATTTACATGTTCTGTTAATAGAAGTTAGGGTGCGTTTTGGTCCACAAACCACGTGGGGGTTATATGGTAATTTTCAAATGTCAGGGGGGTAATCTGTACCTGGCCCAAAATACAAGGGGATAAAGTGAAGTTTGCCCAATTTTTTTTGTACATTCCTCCCCCCCCCCCCAATAGCCACTAGAATTTCATGCAACTTGCAAGTCTAGAATGACCGACTCTGTTATTTAACTTTGCCCTCTTCTTATTGTTGTAGACTATAGTACACACAATCAGAAAATTGCTATTTAAATATTTGAAAAATTATATACTCCAATGAAGTGAAAAAATTCACAAATTAGTTTGTTAAATGGTTATATAATTTATATCATAAGAATATAAGTTCATCAGGAAGTATAGGTTCAAAGTGCCTCTGCAAGTGTCCCTTCTATTGATAGTGATCAAATTGGGGATGAAAATGCTCCTCTTTGGGGTTACATTACGAAAATAACTAAAAAGGGTGAAGGAGGAAGTGATAATACCAAATTTCGGTGTAATTATTGTAATATTGAGTTTCAAGGTTCACACTCTAGAGTCAAAGCACATTTGTTGCTACTTTCTAGGTATGGAATTAGAGTGTGTGCATTTCTGAAGAATAGGCCTGATCTTTTTGTTGAAATGCAAAAGGCAGATAAAGAAGCTGAGAATAGGAAAAAGATGACAAAGCCTTAAGATGTTCCCTTACCACCTCCCTCTTCGCGAATTAGTTCTAGCATAGAGGTGGTAGGGGATGTTGGAACATTTAGATTGGATGGTTATGAACCAAAAAAAAAAAAAAGGCGAGAGTAGTGCCTTAGATAAAGCATTCAATCAAGGTGCTAAAGAACATTTGCATTCTTTAATTGCTCGCATGTTCTATTCAGTTAGGTTGCCCTTTCATTTGGCCAGGAATCCATATTTTGTGGGTTTAAATTTGCTGCTAAGAATCAAATTATAGGGTATCTCCCTCCTAGTTACAACTTATTAAGGACTACTCTACAAAAAGAAAAAGCAAATATTGACAGTTTGTTGGAACTAACAAAACAATCATGAAATCAAAGGGGTTGAGTGTAGTGGCCGATGGATGGACCGATGCACAAAGGAGACCTATTATCAATCTCATGGCAACATCTGATGGTGGAGCTATGTTTGTAAGAGCTGTTAATTGTGAAGATGAGTACAAAGACAAGTATCATATTGCTAAATTAATTAGTGATGTGATAAATGAAGTAGGCCCTCATAAAGTGATTCAAGTAATTACCGACAATGCTCCTGGATCAATCATTCAAAGTAATTATCCGAAGATATTTTGGACGCCTTGTGTAATACACACACTTAATCTTGCTCTTAAAAATATTTGTGATGTTAAGGAAATTGGAGGTGTTGCCTATGCTTATGATGAATGCCATTGGATTACAATTATGATTGATGATGTGATGTTCATAAAAAATTTCATCATGAATCATTCTATGAGATTGGTAATTTTCAATGAGTTTGTGCCTTTGAAGCTACTTTCTGTTGCAGATACACGCTTTGCATCTGCAATTATTATGCTAAAAAGGTTTAAGCTTATATATAGTGGCTTCCAAGCAATGGTGATAAGTGAGAAATGATCATCCTACAAAGAAGATGAAGTCGGAAAAGCGGCTCTTGTTAAGGAAAAAGTGTTGAATGATATTGTGAGATGCTTAGATCTTATGACACCGATAAGCCATGTTTACACTTGGTCTATGAAATGTGGGATTCAATGATTGAGAGGGTAAAGGCATCCATTTATAGGCGTGAAGGAAAGTTAGAAAATGAAGAGTTGGCTTTCTATTCTGTGGTGCACCAAATACTAGTGGAGAGATGGACAAAAAACAGTACACCACTTCATTGTCTCGCACATTCTTTGAATCCGAGGTATAACTCATTTTTAAACTCGGTTGTTTTTTTAGATGGGAAAAGGATAGAATTTAGTTATGCTAGACATCATTTTTAAACTCTTAATAACTTAACATAATTTACTTTTTATTTATTTTTTTCTACTAATTTTGCAATCTAGGTATTATAGTGGAATGTGGCTTCATGAAAATCCCATTCGTGTTCCTCCTCACAAGGATGAAAAAATTTCTGATATGAGAACCAAGTGCTTTAAGAAATACTTTCCAAATGCAGAAGAGAGAAGGGTTGTGAATACAGAGTATGCCACGTTTCAGTTTTTTTGGAAAGTTTTGGAGACATCAACTCAATATGTGATAGAGGAGAAACGTAACCAATGGTTTGGTGGTTGGCACATGACTCTTCTGCACTAATGCTCCAATCATTAGCAATGAAATTACTTGGCCAACCATCTTCCTCTTCATGTTGTGAAAGGAATTGGAGTACATACTCTTTCATTCACTCCATGCGAAAGGAATAAAATGACTCCACAACGTTGTGAGGATTTGGTTTTTGTGCATTCTAATATTGGCCTTCTATCAAAGAGGAGTCAACAATACACAGAAGGACAGAGCAAGTTATGGGACATTGGTGGAGATGTTTTTGATTCATTGGAGGTCTCTGATTTATTAGAAATTACAAATCTTTCACTTAATGAGCCGGAGATGGAAGCCATATTGTTTAATGATGAAGTTAATAATTGGAAGTTGATGGAATTGAAAGTTGATGTTCTAAGTTTCATAGTTTCATTAGGGTTATCTTTTATTTTGGTTTAGTTTGTTTTTAGCACGAAATTCTCTTTTCTAATTTCTTCTATGTAACAACATTAAAATAGCTCGTCGATTTACTTTAGTATTGTTGGAAAATGATTTACTTTTTTTTTTTGTTGTTATAATTTCTCCTTCTAATTAAGTTATTGAATTTTAATTTGTATGTTGGATGTTTAGCTAAAAAAAAAAAATTGGCATACCCCAACCATATCCATACCTTCCTTTTTGTAAAAAAATTTACCGTATCAGCGCACCAGCACCCATGCCTCTTAGGTCATAACTAAATCATTTTCAGTCATAACTAAAAAGCAAACACCACATAAGATATAACTAAAGATCTTTTGGATCATAACCAAAATAATGTTATAACTAACACCATAATGAGTTATAATCAAATCATAACTAAAACCACAATAATAACTTGGGCATATGGTACAAACCAAAACATGTGTGTATCATAGAATTTCCCACATATACATATATACATATATTCAGACAATTATGCAATTAATTAAAAATTGCACACCATTAATGACTAAAAATAATATTTTCAAGGGCTTTGACTCCACCCTCCCCTTCAATGTACCCAAAAATAAAAGATAAAATTGATACTTCCAACAACAAAATTATTGAAAATCATGGCTTCTCTATAACTAGTATCATTCCATTGAGAATAAGCAACCATAAAGAAGGAAAAAATTTAACCCAAAATACAAAAACCCAAGTTAGCATTATATATATGAAAAAATAAATAAAAATTCATTAATAAAAGGGTAAAGGAATTACGTCTTAGACAGTGCATCAAAAATGCTTTGTGCTTCAGCAGTAACACCCACCCCAATCCTCTCTACTTCTCTCTCTGCCTGTCTGCAATTTCACCACACCACACCACACAATAATATTAACAGTGACAGAGAGATGACAAGAAAGAATCCAAAATTTGAAAAACTGGGTTGTATTCATAGACATAGATAGAGCTTACCTAATGGCGGAGTCTTCACGAGATTGGAGGGAATTGAGATCAAGATTAAATTTTTTGGGATCAAGAGGGTCCTCGGCTTGACCCAAGTACTTGAAGCTTTCTATGTAGTTGGCTTTCAATAGCCTTATGTTTCGAAGCTGTCCAGATCCAGATTTACCCTCTTGTGTCAATCAAACACACACAGTTAAAGAATTCAAATTCAAAGTTTTGAATCAAAAGAAAAACACATATTGATTGACTGAGAGAGAGAAAAAGGATATGAAGGACGAGAATGTTGGAAGGTGGATCGAAGGTGATGACTTGGGCTTCGAACTCGTCGCCGAGAGTGGTTTTGATGGAAAGAATGCATCCCACTGAGAAATCATCGCCGCCGCTGCTGTGTGCATCCATGGCCTTATTGGGTCTCTGATTCCTTTGGAGGTCTCTGTTTGCTTCTACAACTCTACTCTCTACCACTTGAGTTTGTTTGATTTTAGACTTTTTTAAACAGTGTTTTTTTTTTTTTTTCACTCTAGTTTGGGGACTTTGTTTATTGGATAAAAAAGTCACATCTTTATCAGAATTTATTTTATTTTTAATGATTTTTTTTAAAAAAATTATGTTAGTTTTTAAATTTTTTTTTATTCATTCCGATAGAAGAATCTAAAAAAATTAAAAAATCAAAATAAGCCAAAAAGAAACTCCATTATTTTATTTTATTTTATTTTTCTTTTTTGAACTTTTTTAGGTTTTTTTTAAAAAAATTTTAGCTCGTCTCGTGGACCTAGAATCCATTTTTTTAAAAAATTTCTTTTCTTTTTTGAACTAGTAGGTTTTTTTTTAAATTTTTTTAGCTCGTCTCGTGGACCTAGAATCCTAAATTTTTTTAAAAAATTTCACTAAAGGTGAAAATAAACTGAAAAAAAAAAGTCACCAAATAAGTAAATCTTAGAGCATCCCTACTATATTATTTATATTTTATCCTAGAATATTATTAAAAAATTTATTTTTTATTTTAGAAATTACTTTATCATTTACTTCCCACGAGAAACTCCATATTCTTTCTCTATTCTATTAACAAATTCTATATTTTTTCTCTATTTTATTAAAATATAATTTTTCATTATAAATTTAAAAAAAATAAAAATCATAAATGTGTACTACAGTCCCTAAACTAAACAAAGCAAAGCAAAAAAAATAAAAATAAAAATGTAAGTGTGTTACAGTGACTCCCTACAAATAGGAAGGCACTCTAGCAATTCTTATTTTAAGCTAGAAGTGTATAGGGGGCATCAAACCCCTTAAAATAGGCAAGGAGGGGCTATAAGGGTTCTATTAGGATGCTCTTAAACACCTATTTTACAAATACACCCCTCAAAATTTGTTTAAAATAAAAATTATTCCATGTGATTCTAAAAATTATATCCTAACTCTTCAAATTTCCAATCGTATAAAAAATAATCATTTTATTAATAAATTATCAAGTCAATTAACAGTTTTTAATAATGTCATAAATATATTTAATTAATCATTCGGCGTATTTTATTGTTATATGGAAGGGTAATTAAGAATTTTATTTTTTTGTTAATTTTATTAAATAATTTTTTTTGACAATGTGATATTTGTAATTTTCATAATCATAAGAGCAATCTGTATTTTAAATAAAACTCAAGGATTGTATTTGTAATTTACTGTTTACTTTTTTGTTTTTTGTTTTATTTTATTTTATTTGTGTTTTTGTTATATTTAGGCCTCGTTTGGGAACTATCTTTTTTAGCCAAAAAGTCAAAAAATTACTAAATTAGCCAAAAAAACCAACAACTCATACCAAAAAGTCAAAGATTCTCTTTTTTCTCTACTTTTTGCACATCTTTTCGTAAAAAGTCAAAAAGTCATCCTAAACATATTATTTTTTTTAGCTCATATTTTAGCCAAATAGTCAAAAAGTTATTAAAAATTAGTCTGTTCCCAAACGAGGCCTTAGTAATTTTTTTCTTTGTATTGTAGTCATTTTCTTAAAAAAATTTAGACGCACTTAATTTAAAAGAAAAATTGCAATTCAATGGAAGTTTTCAAAAATAAAAATCAAAATCAAATTAGTGGTAACCTTTTAAGGAAAATTATTTAAAAGTCCTATTAGGGAGATTTATGCTACATATGGTCCTACTAAAAAACTTATGTTCTCATAAGTCCTGTGAAAAATTTGTTGACACATTTACCCTCAATATTAGTTATTAATATCATAAATAATAGTAAAACCATATATAGGAAATTGAATATTACCATAAATCATATTTATATAAACATAACGTAACGTGACACCTATATAAACGTAACGTGACACCTATAGGAAATTGCATGTTACCATAGATCATATTTACATAAACGTAACGTAACGTGACACCAAAATAAACGTAACGTGACACCTATAATCTATGACAACATTCAATTTCCTACCATAAATCATATCTACATAAACGTAACGTAACGTGACACCTACAATTTCCTTTATAGGAAATTGAATGTTACCATAAATTATATTTATATGAAATATAACGTGACACCAACATAAACCTGCAACATTTTCACATTCAATTTAAAAAAATAAAAACTCATTAAGTTTGCGAAACGTAACGTGACACGTTACGTTACATTTATGTAGGCGTCACGTTACGTTACGTTTATGTGGGTGTCACGTCACGTTACGTTTATGTAAGTGTCATGTCACGTTACGTTTATGTAGGATCTTGTGGAATACATTCATATCTAAATAAGATTTGAGACTCTATAAGAAATTATATAGAACTTAGCCTATCGTAAGTGTCTAAAAAAGGACTTATAAATAAGTCTCCTTAAATTTTATCAAGTTTAATAATTAAATTTATAAACTTATCCATAAGTTTGTAAATATTTTGGGAAGATCCCACTTATTTGCAATTTTTCCTCATTTAAATATACTTAAAATGTTAAATATTTATGAAGAAATTTAAAAATAATTCAATAAATACAAACAAAAAAAAATGCATTGAATTTTGTATTTTATATATTTAGTAAATAATTTAAAGATTTTTTTATGAATTTTATACTTTTAAATATATTTAGATTAAGTAGATCTAACACAACAAATTAATTATAATATTCAAAATTTTCACTAAAAATAAAAAATATATAGATTGAAATTCAAAAATTATTTGTAAAAAGTCTAAAAACCAAACAGACTATTTCGCAAATGCAAATAATTCGTTTTTCCAAAAAGCGACTCTTATCAATGTGAATGTTAACATGTCAATGTGAATATTCACATTGTCGACGGGCCGGACCGAGACCGCCCCGGGCCGGCCATGGGTCGCGGGCGGGTTTCGCGCCGTCACGGGACTGGGGTCAATTTTACACTTCTATTAATGTGAATGTTAATATGTCAATGTGAATATTCACATTGTCAACGGGCCGGGCCCGCCCCAGCTCGCGGCCGGGTTTCGGGCCGCCCACGAGCCAATTTTACATTCCTACCAATGCGAATTTTAAAATATGAATGTTCACATCATTAAATTGCTAATCGTTCAAAAAATATTTATAAGGGTAACAAAATTAAATATAAGGGCATAAGTGTCCAAGAAAATAGTGTAAATCAAGAAAATGGACTTTATGGAATAAAACTATACATACATGGGGCTAAATGGGTTAAAAAATTCCTTCATGGACTTCTTGGGTTAAAACACTTCTAAATTGTACTTATCAATAAAAATCCCAATAAAAAATATATAGATTGAAATTCAAAAATTATTTGTAAAAACTCTAAAAACCAAACAGACTATTTCGCAAATGCAAATAATTCGTTTTTCCAAAAAGCGTAAAAAAGTTAAAATTATTTTAAAATTATAAAAAGTATTCTAAATTTAATGAAAAGTCTCTTGACATTTATCTAATTTTTATTTTATTTTCTTATGCCTTACAAGAATATTAGTTAACAAAACTCTTATAATTTTAGCCTTCATTTGAAAAGAGTTAATTTTAAAAAGAACTTTTTGTTTTTTTATTTATTTTATTTGAATGTGGTGATTGTTAAAAAAATAAAATAAAATGTTTATAATTTAAATGTAACATTTTGTCTTATTGACTAAATTAGTCTATTTTGTACTATTTAGGCCCTGTTAGTAGATTTTTGGCTTTTTTTAGGTAAAATTCATAAAAAGATAAAATAGATTAAAATAGTTAAAAAAACAAAATGTCACATCAAACTCATAATCATTTCACTTTTTTTTTACAAACATAATAGTCAATCATCTTCTCAAATACAAAAATTTTAGTCTACTAAAATAACCAAAAATTAAAATAACCTACTAAAATAGCCAAATTTCCCAACAAGGCCTTAGGCATTTTAACTCAATTTACATATGTATGGAGACTATTTATTGGGCAGTTATTAAAAATTTTACATATAAATCAAAAGCTATTTATAATGATTTTTTCTAAAATTTGGATAAAATATAATAAGTCTCACTGTTTTGATAAAATTATATTAAATTTTAGTACTTAAATTCACATAACAATTTAGTCTTTTTTTTCCAATAATTTATCAATCACATAAATGAAAAAATGATATTGTCTTCTATCTTATATGTATATTTTTTTTCTTACTCATTATAGTATTTTTCATACTATTTGTATTAATTTCAATATTTTTAATCTTAAAAAAAAGAAAAATTAGTGTAATTATATAAAAAATGTGATATTTATTGTATCTTTCATACACTTCGAGAGGTCGGTGTAATGTATCATACATTAAATTTCGTTTTACTAAGTGAGAGGGTAATTTATATTTATAAATTGGGCCGAGCTAGGCAATGGGCCGTTATGGGCCACAATACGGAGGACAGAGTAAAAAGACCTTGAAAATTAGTTCGGTCCCAAAACCTTGAAGTTAGTTCGGTCCCGGACGGCCCTAAAGTTAGTCCGGTCCCTGAAAGCCTATTATTATCTTGGTCCAGGAGAGTACTACGGATAGCTCGGTCGCCAGGTTGCCGCACTCAGAGTTAGTACGGTCACGATATAGCGCAGCTAGCTCTGTCGGACCTAGCTAATGGTTAGCACTATCTAAGCAATACTATGGTCAGCACTGGGAAAACCATGGTAGGAGTAGTGAATGGAAGAACTGAGGTAGAGTTATCTCGGTCTAGTCTGCGACTTGGCATAGCCATGCTTACCTCGGTCATGTTGGAGTCCGGCCATGGTAAGACCATCTCACTTGGTTTAAGTAGTGAGGGGGGTGTTAAAGGATAAGCATTATCTTTCAGGAGAGTGAATCCTAGGAGGACTCTACATGGGGGAGTAAAAGTCCTACTAGGATTGTGCCACACGGAACCTACAAAAGCTCACAAACATCACCTATGGAGAGGAAACATAACTTTGATTCCCGACCACATAAAGCTTTTTGTCAATTTGTCTATTTTGCTGACTTAGGCATCGGAGAGGTATCCGGCACACACCCGCCGGCTAGCTCACG